TATTTTATAGAGATTTTACTGTATTGATTTGATGTACAATGTCACTTTATCTATCATGATTGTAGGAAGTATAAGATTTTGATAAGACATATTAGTCATATAGATTTTTTAATTCCTTTTAAATGAGATTTTAATGAAATTTAAAAATTATAAATCTTAATGAATTTTCGTGGATTTGAATATATTTTCACAAATTCCATAAGAATCTCATCAGATATGTTGAAATTTCAAAAAAATTGATTATATGTATTTTTAAGTTTAAATCCATCCAAATCTTTTAAAATCCCTCTATTAATGAAATCTTTATAAACCCACTAGTTATTGAGGATACCTAAATTTTAAAATATTTCATTGAATTTTATTAAAATCTCAATTGAGAACGCCTAATTTAGAAGGATTTTTAAAATCCATCACAATCTCAATTGGGAACACCCTTCTTAATTCACATTTAACACAATACGAAATAAATTAACATTTATAAGAAATTTTATAAGCAAATTAAAAACTTAGCCAAAGATGTATCGTTATTTGCAAAATTGATTGTATTTAACATTTTAATTAAAAAGTGGTACAATATGCTTTAATGAAAAAATCGTAAACCATGTAATTTAACTAATATTGACACATTAAAAAGTGACATAAACTAATTTAAGTTTTTTTAATATTGACAAGTAGCAGGGTACCTCACTATATTAAACTCCAATCCTTAAAAAAAAGGATAGACCGTTAAGTAAAATTCAAATGAACTAATAACAAATACATTTCAAATTAAATAATCTATGTTTTTATAGCATTAATTATGAAAACAATTCAATAAAGTGACATAAATTTTAAAAAAGTGACAAATATTCAAAAAAAAAAAGTGATATGTAATGTTTAAAATCAATCAAGACCTTAGAATAGATCTAGGAGATTGTTGATTTTCTTCTACATGTTGTCTCTTTAAGATTATATGTTTTACTTCCATTAACTAAATATAGAAAATAACTTCATTTTAAGAATACAACATTCTATATGTTGAAGGTGACATAAATTCAAAACAATGACAAGAACTAAAAAAATTGACAAACACTC